ATGTAGTTCCTGAGATAGTGATAGACCTCCAGTAATTCTTCTCAATTAGTAAAAACCGAAAGAACTGTGGATGCTGTAAATCAGGAACAAAAACAAAGTTGGTGGAAAAGCTCAGCAGGTCTGGCAGCATCTGTGGAGGAGAAAACAGAGTTAACATTTCGGGTCCGGTGACCCTTCCTCAGAACTTCCTCAGTTCTGAGGAAGGGTCACCGGACCCGAAACGTTAGCTCTGTTTTCTCCTCCTCAATTAGTAGTTCATCCTCCAATGTGGGCAAGCAATTTAACCATTGGTGCATCAAGCACTTAATTTTGCTGGGGTTTCTTTGCATATTGTAAAGAAGATTTCAGTGTTTAGAAATGGAATATTTTTATTTTGGGCAGTCATTATGAACCTTAAAATCCTAAAGGAGAATAAATTTCTCAGACACATCTAGTTTATCTTCATTTAAAGCCTACAATTTATCTCTTCCAAAAATCCACAAACAGAATTGCAGACTGTTGTGGCACAGCAGGAGACCATTTGGCCCATTGTGCTTGCGCTGGCTCTGTTACCCAGTGCCAGTCTCCTCCCGTTTCCTCATTTTCCTACCCACCATTTCTAACTGAATAATCATTCAATGCTCTCTTTGAATGCCTCAACTGAGCAACTCGAAACAACTCCAGAAATTTTGTTTTCACAACAATATGAAAAATGAGATACTTGATTCACTAGGTTCAATTTTCCAGAATTCCCCAGATTCAGGGAAGGTCCCATTAAATTAGAAAATTCTGCTATACAAGAAAAAGGGGAGACAGAAAGCAGGCAACTACATATATAGCTTCATATATGTCAGAGACAAGATATTAAAGTAATTATTAAAGATGTTATAATGGGGCACTTTAGAAAAATTCAGGGTAATTGGGCAGAGTCAACATGGTTGTGTGAAAGGAGAGTCGTGTTTAACCATTTCATTAGAGTTCTGTGAGGAGGTAATGCTTGCTGTAGCTAAAATGAACAGGTGGATGTGCTGCATTTAGATTTGCAGAAGGCACGTCACAGGCGCCAAATCACAGATATTGCAGGGAAAGAAATAACTTATGGTGCAGGACCTAATACATCGGCATAGCTAGAGGATTGGTTAGCTAGCAGGATACAAAGCGGGTATATATGGGTCATTTTCATCGGTTGGCAAGATATTATGGCAGGTGTGCCACAGGGATCATTTTACAATTTATATAAATGACTTAATGTAGAGACAGAACATATGGTTGCTAAACTTGCAGATGACACAAATATAGGAAAATAAGTTATGAAGAGAACATGAGCTTTCAATGGGATATAGTTTTGGTCCAGTGAGTGGGTGAAGCGAACAGGTTGAACATAACATGAGAAAGCATGGAATTGTGTATTTTGGTAGGAAGAACAAGAAAGAAGCATGTTATGTTCATGGTGAGAAATGGCAGAGCTCTGAGATGCAGAGCGATCTGGTGCCCTAATGCATGAATCTCCAAAAGGGTAACATGCAGATTACAGCAAATAATTAAAGAAAGTAACAGATTGTTTATTGTGAGAGAAATTGAATATAAAATTAGGGAGGTTATTCTTCAGTTGTACAGGGCATTGGTTTGACCATTTCTGGAGTACCATGTAGACTATTGGCCTCCTCATTTAAGGATGGATGTAAATGTATTAGACCCAGTTCACAGAAGGTTTACCTGATTAATGCCTGGAATAGATGAGTTGTCTTCTGAGGACAGGTTGCATAGGCTAGGCTTATATTAGCTGGAACAAAAACAGAAATTGCTGGAAAAGCTCAGCAGGTCTGGCAGCATCAGTGGAGAGAAATCAGAGTTAACGTTTCAGGTCCAGTGACCCTTCCTCAGAACCCTGCACCCACTGGAATTTGGAAAAACAAGAGACAACTTGATTGATACATGGAAGATTCTGAGGGGCCTTGTGGAGACAATGTTTTGTCTTGCAGGACAAATTAGAACAAGAGGTGACTGCTCAAAAATAAAGAATTGCCCATTTAAGACCTAAATAAGGAGAACCCCTTTCTTATAGGGCCGTGGGTTTTTGGAACTCTCTTTTACAAAAGACAATGGAATCAGAGTCCTTAAATCTTTGTAAGGCCCAGTTAGAGATTGGAAGGCTATCAGGGTAAGCAGGAGTGTGGAGTAGCCAGATCAGCCATGATCTTATTGAATGGTGCAGCAGGATCGAGGGCTGAATGGCCTTTTCCTGCTTACAGTTCACATGTTTGTACCTGGACCGATACCAGGGCCTGTTTGTCAAGTTATTTAACAAGTAACTGGGGACAAAATATTCTCAGCAAGTTGTATCAAGTTTGTTGCATCACATGAACGGAATCTGGGGCTAAAAATCGTTTGAGATCATTTTTGGCTCAGATGGATATAAATAACTCGTTCAGATGAGACCTCAAGTTCTGAGGCTCTTTATTTTAGAAAAGAAAAGAGAATGATTCTTTGAAACAATAAACACATTCATTGAGCCTTCAGGCTTGTTTGCCGAAGAACTTATTGTTTTTGAACTTTAAGCTGCTTCTCACCAGTGACATAAACGTTGTTGTTGAACTGACCTTTCAAAAGGTTGTGCGTCACCAACTGTGAGTTTGGCATTCCAGTCTGAAATTAGGGGTTGGAAATGGCATCTCTGTGGTGTGTCACCATTGGTAGGAGACTGTTGGCTCCAGGGTCAAACCAGATTTAAGATCTTGATTACACATCCACTTTTGATCATTCTTGTTATCTTTTTCCCCCTTCTTGCTTCCCCTTCCTGCACTGTCTTCATCGCCAGTGGAGGAGTAATCAATCCGACTGCACTTATGCCCTTGCCTGGGTTGCCCCTATCTCTCTCCGCTAGGGGTTCATTCGAGTGGATCGGGTCATTGGTTTTATATTGGCGCTTCCACTCCAACCCTGAGTTTGTTTTTTGGTGTGGGTGGGGGGGTGTGGGGGGCGCAGGTGTGGGGGTTGCTCATGTCCTGACCTTTGCTGAGCATGTTGCAATTAGTATTGCAGACGAGATGAAGAGTTTCCCATGTGGGATTGTGGGTAAGAACCCACATCCTTCCTTTGTGTTTGCAAAATGCATTAGAGCAGTTTCCCCGGCTCTTTGATGCCCGTCCCCTGTTGCTGTGGCAATGGCACATGGCAGCAATCTATTTCCCCAAATTTCCCCTACGCACCCAGCCCCACAAACCCTTTCTGCTTGATTTCTGTCTTTCTGATGCCCACCCCTGCCCCCCCTTAATTTTAACGGTGTCACCACTGGCGGACATGCCTTGAAGTGGCCAATGCCCAAGCTGCAGAATTTCCTCCGTACCTGCCTCTCGTCTTCAGGTGTTCCTTCAAACTGTGCTCTTTGGCTAAGTTATAAGCCATCACATGTTGCTGGTGGTTTTGCAGGTCACACTCAGTGCTGCTCAGCCAAAAGCTTGTCGGTGCAATTCCCGTTCCAGGTTCTGAGCTCAGCAATTTAGGCTCATGCTCCAGTGCATGGCCGATGGAGGTGCTGCATTGTTGGCAGAGACTGTTTCAGATGAGATGATAAACCCTACGCCAGGCACAAGTAGAAGGCCCCATATCACAAGGCAGAGGACACATCCCTGGTGTCCTAGACTAATACTTATCCCTCAGTGACAAAAGTAGATGGTCCCGCCACCATCACATTGCTGCTTATGGGAGCTTGCTGTGCATTTCCACTTCAAAGCCTACCACATTATTTAAAGCTGTATGACTTCACTGGTCATTGTCAATGGCGCTGTGGAAATGCACGTTTTTCTTGCATCTGCATGAATATTTCCTAATGTGGCTTGGTGTCAGTGTTGCCTTATGACACACCAGGCAGCATTTTGGGCGTATTGTTTACATTTAAGGAGCTTTGTGGATATAAGTTGTTAATGTTGTTGTAAGCTGCTTGCCTTGAGTAAAGACACCCCTGGGGTGATGATGTGCCTTCAGTGTTGAAACGTGGGTTCATTTTGAACTGGTATCTCCAAACATTGATGCAGGTTTGAAAAACAGTGTGGTCAGGAGGGAGTGCTGCATTGACAGAGGTGTTGTCTTTCAGTTGAGATGTTAAGCTGAGCCCCTATCTACCCTAGACAACAAGGTGCAGGGCTGGATGAACACAGCAGGCCAAGCAGCATCATAGGAGCAGAGAGGCTGACGTTTCGGGCCCTTGGGAACCCTGCAGCCCAATGGTATCAATGTGGATTTCACAAGTTTCAAAATCTCCCCTCCCCCTACCGCATCCCAAAACCAGTCCAGCTCGTCCCTGCCTCCCTAACCTGTTCTTCCTCCCACCTATCCCCTCCTCCCACCTCAAGCCGCACCTCCATCTCCTACCAACCAACCTCATCCCGCCCCCTTGACCTGTCCGTCCTCCCTGGACTGACCTATCCCCTTCCTAACTCCCTACCTACACTCACCTTTACTGGCTCCATCCCCGCCTCTTCGACCTGTTTGTTTCCTCTCCACCTATCCTCTCCTCTATCCCTCTTCTATCCGCCTCCCACTCTCTCCCTATTTATTTCAAAACCCCCTTCCCCTCCCCCTTTTCTGATGAAGGGTCTAGGCCCGAAACATCAGCCTCTCTGCTCCTATGATGCTGCTTGGCCTGCTGTGTTCATCCAGCCCTGCACCTTGTTGTCTCGGATTCTCCAGCATCTGCAGTTCCTACTATCTCTCACCCCTATCTACCCTCTCAGGTCACTGGAAAAGTTTGTCCCGAGAACCACTTCAGAGAGGAGCAGGGTCTCCTGAAGAATATTTTTCATCCCCAATCAGCATCAGTGAAACAGGCCATCTAGTCATATTCACAGTGTTGTTTCTGGGGGTTTATTTCTTGCCAAATGGCTGTTGTGTTATTGTATGACGGAGCAGTGACAGCACGTATAAAAATGCTCTTTGTCGCTGTTAGTAGAGACCTCTCGCTCTCCTTAGGCAATAGTTAAGTGTCTGTTCTCTTCCCCCCAACCCCCTTTCCCTTTTCCCAGCTCGTCGTTCAGGCTGGGTTGTTTCATGGCAGTGAGATGCTCTGTAAGACAGTGTACAGCCATGAAGTTAACATGTGCTCCGAGCCCCTGTGGAACCAGAGTCTGGAGTTTGACATCAACATCTGTGACCTCCCAAGGATGACGCGGCTCTGCTTCGCTCTGTATGCCGTGATTGAAAAGGCTAAAAAGGCTCGATCTACCAAGAAGAAATCAAAAAAAGCGGTGAGTGTTCTTACTTTATTCCTGCCTTCATCAATACAATGTTCCTTTATGTGTAACAAAACTAGTATGAGCTCATTCAGAGATAGTCAGAACTGCCGATGCTGGAGTCGGAGATAACACAGTGTGGAGCTGGAGGAACACAGCAGGCCAGGCAGCTTCAGAGGAGCAGGAAAGCTGACGTTATGGGTCAGAAAGAAGAAGGGTCCCGGTCAGAAAGAAGAAGGGTTCTGCCCCGAGACATCAGCTTTCCTGTTCCTCTGATGCTGCCTGGCCTGCTGGGTTCCTCCAGCTCCACACTGTGTTATCCATGAGCTCATTCAGGTTGGGTGATCTGTTACCAATTAACTTCCAGGTAAGTTTTAAAGTTTTTACCTCCACTTGGTGCTTGCGGTTAGAGGGATCATGTTGTGCCACAGCAATGGGTGAAGAACGTTTCATGTACAGGGGGAGTCCCACTGACTGCTGGATGGTATTATTGTAACAGTCAGTGTGAATGGCACAGAATCTCCAGGGCATGTTGTCCCTCCGACAGGAGCTCAGGAAACCTTCTGGATTGATTATGATTTAACAGACAGTATCCCAGATTAACAGCTGGACTCTGAAGTTTAAACTTTCAAGGAGAGAACACAGAATGGGTGTGTGTTCCCTGGGATCTCAAAGGATCCGGTGCAATCTGAACAAAGTTTCCACGTTAGTAAGGGGAATGGATCGGGTCAATGAAGTGGAATTATTTCCACGGCTCAAAAAGCCTAGCACTAGGGACGTAGTCGAAAAATCACAGCCGCCACAGCTTTCTGAAGTGAAATTCGGAAAAGATTCTGCTCTTACAGGACAGGGTTATGTGGAGGGGTCAGGTATTGGCTACTGGCAGGAAAATCAAAGTCACCATAATCCCAGTGGACCAAAGGGCCTATGAAAAGGGGAGAGATAGAGACAGAGACAGAGAGACAGAGACAGACAGACAGAGGCAGAGAGAGACAGAAACAGACAGAGAGAGAGAGTGTGAGACTGAGACAGACAGGGAGAGAGAGAGACAGAGAGACAGAGACAGACAGAGAGAGAGAGGTGAGGGGAGTGGTGGTGTGGTTAGCCTGAGGATCACCATGCCTCAGGAGGGGTTGAGAAGCTGGGACCTTCACGGTAACAGGAGCTCGGTGCTGTTGGAATTTGCAAATCAGCTGTCCAGCCAACCGAGCGAACCACTGTCTGAGCGGGTTAGTACCAACAACAACACGTTCTCCCTTCTCATTCCTGCTGCTGTGTAGCCCTCAGGGCTCCATGCACGGCAGTGTCTAACAGGATCAGATGGTGTTCCCATGTATCTGATATCCTTGTCCTTTTAGATGGCAGTGGTCATGGGTTTGGAAAGTGCTGACGTGCAGATCTGTGCAATTTCAGCCTCCGTTGGAAAATCCAATTTCAATTCAGCAACAGTTGCTAGTTATATTTTTATTCACTCATTGGGCCTGGGCATCACTGGCTGGGCTTGGCATTTATTGCCAATTCCTAGATGCCCTTGAGAAGGTGGAGATGAGCTGCCTTCTTGAACCACTGCAGTCCTTTTGGTGTAGGGACAATGTCATTAAAGCAATTTTTAGGGCAGGAAGTGTAGTTCAGAGGAATGTCATTGGACAAAAACCATTGGCACTGAGCCAAGGAAAGGAGGTATTGGTACAAATGACCAAAGCATTGTCACAGAGTTATGTTTTAAGGACTGCACAAGGAAACGCAGACAGGGGATGAGTTTTGGGAGGGAATGCCTAGCTTTAGGTGAACAGAGGAGGTGAGACCTGGAAGTGAAGCTGGATTGAGATTTCAGCCAGAGCCCCAGTGTGGGATTCACCTTAGAAAGGGCTTTAGCAAACACTTTGTGTGAAATAATTTAAAAAGGCTCTGTGAAATAATTGTACAGATAAATAAATTATTAAATGCAATGGGACTCCTATAAAAAAAATGAAAGAACTGCGGATGCTGTAAATCAGGAGCAAAAACAAAGTTGCTGGAAAAGCTCAGCAGGTCTGGCAGCATCTGTGAAGGAAAAAACAGAGTTAACGTTTCGGGTCCGGTGACCCTTCCTCAGAAGTTC